ATTAAGGGAGAGCAGAAGCTGAAATACAAACAATGATGTGAGTTTCAGCAAAATTCAGTTGCCTGTCTCATCTTGCCATAGAGCAGTCTTGCAGACTTATTTATGGATGTTACTTAGAACTGAGGTCTGTCTCGTCAGTAATGAAGCCATTGTACTTTACCTTTTAACAAAAGGAAACTACCAGTACAAGGATCTCTGTCAACCTTGCTGTGATGGATTCTATAAAATAAAGCTACAGGAACTGAATGAGTGGACATAACAGTAGAATAAATCCCTTTCAAGCCCCAGGTTTCTTGGCAGCTAAGCACAGCTGTGTCTCAAGTGTAAACTGACCTTGTGAGGTGTCCCCCTCCCAAAGGAGAGGTCTCCCATTTCTCCCCATTTAAGATGACTGCACAGCACTGACTGGAGCATCAGCAAAGTCAAATCATCGCAAACAAAGCACTAATAGTTCCATCTCAAGGGCTGTTTACAAGTCTGAGTCAAGAAACCTGATGATGAAAAAGGTTTTACCCACCACGGCACAAATGGCCGATACCATTTGTGTCATGGGGTCCTGTAACCATCCAAAATTATTTTTAATCTTCTGTGGACTACTCTCTGACTTTACTGCCTATCTGGAACTCTAAATTCATCCAAGAACTGCTAGCCAGCAGATCACGTGGTTAGCCCAGGGTTTGAGCATTAAAAAAAAAAAAAAAAAAAAAAGACCAATCACACTAAGCACTTGACTTCTAAAGATTGCATTGCATTGCAGCCACCCTAGCTTTAAAGCCATGTCACTGCACATCTCCATCTGCACTGTAGGAGATCAAGTGGTAACAGAGCATGCGCTTGTTAGACTTCAGCAATTTCCCTGAGATCAAGTAATCTTAAAATCATGGTTTCCTATTGTAAGACTGGATAGCGATATTTCATCCATCGGTGTGTATATAGTAGTCATTTCATCTATATAACATTTTACATCCCACTACTGTGGCCTTCACTTGAGTTATGAACATTTTAAAGATGTATTTCTGACTTTACACTAAATAAAAACTTCTGATTTGTCTCTATTAGTTTGGTTTAACATTTGTAAACTCTAAACCGTCTCATAACCACCTGTAGTCAAAACGTGGAAAAATGGCAGGGTTTGCGATCATCTTAATTTTGTCTACATAGCTGAAGTGTCTGTAAGACTAGATGTAATCAGAAAGTATTAAGATTAAACCTGGGTTAATTCATTTATTTTCAGCAAGCTTCCAGTTCCTGACTCACTTGGTATTTTCACCCCTGGGTCCTACATTTCTGTATACTTTTCTGTATCAGCTAAAGGAAGAGGAAAAGCATTGGTAGACTGCATCCAGTGTTGTCAAAACTAAACTTTGCACCTCTCCACATGAGAGAACTTTAAGGCAAGTTAGAATAGAAGAGATTTTCCCTTTTCCTACACAGGTAGCGAGCTCTACATTAGACAGAAACCAGAATTACTACTTCATCATACCTTCATGAAGGTGGAAGCTAACTGAGGATTAGCTTCAGTTGTAATTAAATAAAAAGGCCTCAGTCCTACTTAGCCTTCCCTGAGTGTAGCAAATCTGCAGTCTGGGATTTGGTGTCCTCAGTAAGGCCCCTTTTACTGAGCTATGGCAGGAGCACAGGCTGTGGAGGTCTGATACTGATGGAGTTCCAGAGATGACTGACAGTCTTAATAGCAAGCCATCCTGAAACTGGATTATCATTAGTTTGTTAATTTCAAAGCACTTTCAAGCAGCCACAGTAACAAGATCAAGTATTTTTCCTGAAATACCTGTTCAGATATAAACGGACTACGCACAGGAACTGCAGGTGAAATCTCAGTATTGTAAATGACAATCAAGGGGATTCCCCTTTTGCCTGGCTTTCTAGATCTAGAGCCTCAAATCCCCACAGCTCTGATATTTCTCCCCTAATTACTAGGATAAGACTAGATCCAAGTGAGCTGATGGGCAGAAGGATGTCTTCTATCTCCGGGTTCCAGGTAGTTGAAGTCATTAAGTCAGTATTCAAGTGAGATAGGCCCTACAGAGTCAGTATGGCAATCTTAAATTCAAAACCATAAGGGAAGAGTCACATCCCCTGTGGGGTGACCAATCCCTGGAGTAACTATATTGCACCAAGCAATCCCCCCCCCACCCCCAAACCAAACAAAAACCAACCCCAAAAATACACCAAAACGCTGTAACAATTCCAAAAGACTTCTAACCAGGCTCAGGCAAGATTCATTCAAAAGGGGTGCTGAAAAGCTCCCTGACAGCTCACAGTAGCTGTTACTAGCAAGATACTGCATTGGTAACAACTTCTATTGCTGAAGAGTCACAGGCAGGCGGAGGAATCTGGAGTCTTCAATTCTTACCTTTTGCATGTAGACCCTAAATAAAGAGGAGGTAACTTGCATTTAACTTAAAAAAAAACCAAAACAAACAAAACCTAAACCAAAACCAAACAAAGAAACCAGAGGCCCTTCCATGTAGTTCACATAAAATAGAGTCCAATATAATTCACTTTTGAGCACTTCAACACAAGCACCTGAAGACACTGGCTTCTTCATCAGGGTTAATTAAGCATTCATTTGTTAGAAACTTCCATGGAATCTTTGCTGACTTGATTTGCTGTGAAAAAACTTTTTTTTTTTTTTACGTAAACTTGTTTCTTGCCAGGCACAAGGAGATCCATTAGATTCCTTATGTGTTAATGTATTTCTACGTGTTTTTAATGTATGACTGCTTCTGCAAGCATTTTACATCCTACTAATATTATATGCAGCCGCCAAGCAGCAAGAGGTTTCTGCTGACTGCAGTTTTATTGTTAGTTTTAACATACAGCTGAACTTGAACAAAGTTTCTTTTACAATATGCAGTTTATTTAAACTGTATTATGAGAATGCCCAGTTACTCACATCTGTAAAAAACTTAATCCATCAAAAATTCTTACCTAGATTAATAAATTTCATGTTAAGCAAGAATTACTACGTATTTTTAGGAGGCAATGTACACTTAGCAAGTATTCTATAAACAGAGGTTATACCATTCTGGCTTGGAACATGAGAACTATAAAAGTTTGAAAAAATTACCTGTATATCACTTCTGCAGATTTGATATCTGCATTCAAAAGTAAAACAAGTCACATCAATTACCACTTGTTATATGAGTATTCTATTTTAAAATATCTTTTAAAAATAAATTACTGTAACCAATATCTAAAGTGAACAGGCGACCACCCATGTAACAAGATCAACTAAAATAAATAATTTACAATAAAAATTGTTGCTAGCACTAAATCATCATACAAAAACAATTATTGCATTTTGCTCTGCACAGAAAAAACCCCACCTTTTCTCATAGCAATGTGAACTGCTATAGATGCTACATCTATACTATCATACTCTTTTAGCTGAAAAGTGTAAACAGCTAATTTTGTGCTAGAGCTGCAACAATGTTCTAGTTTATTCATGTTTTTTAAAAATATTTAGAGTAAGTTTATCTCCAACTAATACTAATTTCTAGGAATCTTCCAATCTTAAGAATCTTCACCTTAAAATCAGTTGGCCAATATGTAATTTCACTTTTATTCTGAATCTGAAACATCAGCTAACTCCTCACAAATGGTATTTCTCCTTAAAAAAGGGAATCAAGGAAGTTTGGGAAGGTTAAAAGAGGTTACAGAATTAAAATAGGAGGTTAAGTAGCAATGAGTCCCCCTTTTTCCTTCAAATCTCAGGAGCTTGCATGCTGTCAGGCCCACTGAAGTGGCATACCAAAAGTTACTATTATCTAGACCTACAAATACTAGCTGGAAGTAACTCAGTCCTTTCGTACTCTTCTTTTGCGCACTGATTTCAGTGAACCATCTCTGGAACCTGTGCTTTCATCAGCTTCTTTCATCTGAAAAGAAAAAAAAAAAAAAAAAAAAAAAAAAAAAAAAAAAAATATCAGCATTAAAATTTTAAACCAATTTTAATTTTATTAGAAACTGGCATGTTACTTTATTTCTCCTCCCAACCCCCCCAGTCATATTATCACTAAATGCAACACTTAAGTGATATTTTTTTTCCACAGTAGTAATCTAACAATAAATAAAGTGGGTAGAAGAATTTTCCTTTCTATATTCAGAGGGAAGGGAATAGTACATCTAAGCTGATGTCAGAAATTTGGTTTTGCCCATTCACTCACCGGTTTAAAGCAGTGACTTTTTAATGAATTTAGCAACTTCCTTAAAGTGCATCTTATGCCAATTTTAATTTCCACTTCTTAAGCAAGAAGCATTTAAAACATTCCAACTGCCATCTTTGGAGAGCTACAACTAGAACAAACTGTTCTTAAATCAGATGCGTTCTTCTCAGTTTAAAAGCAATTATCTTACAGAGGCGCATGAAAAGCCTTCCACCATGAACTCCGTTCTCAGACAATGCATTGCTTCCTCACTTTCCCGCATCACCCAGCGGCAAGCACCTCATTCAGAAGGAACAGCTCACACAATGTGGCACAACCTGAGTGAGGACATGGTGTGCATGACATCTGCCAAGTAGGTCACTACCTAACTCATGACAGAAACTTGTACACCCTGAAAATACCCAGAGGAGAGCAAGCCATAACCTCATTTTGATACTGTGTAGTGGCACACACACATTCAGGTCGTCTTGTTACTTTCACAAGGAGTCACATGCATCTTAATGGGGTTCACCAGATACTGTATTCCTAGGTAAATGTACAAGGAAAAAAACCAAACCCCACTTCTTACAAGAGAAAGTCCTGAATAAGGTGTAATTAATGAAGAATTTCAACGCTAAACCAATGCAACCTCACGCAAGGTACAGTCTCCTAGAGGAGTTTTATATGAAAAGGAGTTAACATTAAACAACAACTCTAATCTGGGAAGGGACTCATTTAGGGAGTGACAAGCACAAGATGACCAACAGAAATACTGTGGGTGGATCTAAAGAGTTTCAGACGTACCAGAGTTTCTAAATGAAAGGATAATGAGTAGTTGACGAGCAAGAAAAAGCACGCACAAATTCCATTCTACAATGTTATCTTCTGAAAAAAAATTTATATATTATCTGGTGACTGGATTAATCTGCATGAGAAAAATGAAACTGCAGGTGCTGAGTTGAAAACTAGTATGGTCATTTTGCTTAAAACCTTATTTTGGAATTAAAAAAAGAAAGGTAACAGAAAGCTTAAAGTTCTTCTAGGTCTCACTGAAAGGCAGTTACAAGCATGTTCCATCAATTAAGTAGCACAATAAAAAGAGCCTGACATCTACCGCAGCATCCAAATTTTCAAGACTTGTAATTAATTTAATAACCTCTTAAAAGCTATACTCCTGTAAAAAAGTTTCATGTTTAGACAATTGCATGATCACTTCTATCCTACACCTGTATTTTACAATAAACATCACCTCCTAGCCAAAATTACACAGGAAGAGACGTGTTTCACAAATCTGTACAGATCATTTGAGGTATCAAACTCAAATAAAAACACATCCCCACCTCATGATTTGTTTTATGGCTCAACAGAAGAAAAACTCTTGTTGTAGGTAACTGGGCTGTTAGAAGTGCGATGTTGGACAGGGGGGGCAAGGAGAAAATACGGGAAAAAAATCGCAAGTTTACCTCATCTTCTGAACCAGATTTATTTGACTTATCACCTTCTTCTTGACTTCCATCTGCAACTTCATTCTCTTCTTCATCATCAATATCTTCACCACCTTCACCCTCATCTTCTGCAGAAGAAATTAATCCTACTTAGTAAACAGAACTATATTAAAAATGCACTATTATCCAGACACACTAGTAAAGAAGAGAAGCCAATTTCAGTCTCAGAATGAAGTGCTTGTTTACAATAACCCAAAAAACAATCCCTGTGATCCTGAGAGTAGAATTCTCATGAATTAGTAGAAACTGATCACTGTTGGATTTAATAACCAATTTTAACAGCTTCAGCCTAGCCTCTTTTCACAATAGCACATAATCTCTTCAGACTTGTAAGTGACCAACTAAAATGATGACCTCAGGTTCATTTTCTTAGGGAAGTCCTTAAATCCAAGTATTGTATTAGACAGTTTTGAGACCAGAGTCCAAAATAGGACAACTCAGACATCCCAAATCTGACTAAATTCTGACTTCGATAGCAAAGTACAATATTGCTGTTACCAGTCATCCACCACACAGGACACCTACATCCTAAGGAAACACCCCTTTTCAGCACAGAATTCTTCTGGAATACTGCTTTGGTTAAGGGGTAAGTAGCTCTGTGCTTACCCCTTCTTATGCATTACTGCAATGCAGAAACTAGTCAGAAAAGCACTGTACTCCCCTCGGCTCACTCAAAGTGTGTCCAGCTTGCACTACTAGGATAAAACTATTGACAAAAAGCAGTAAGCTTTCTATGAGACCTGGTGTCAGACATTTGAACTGACAGGGAATGGGAAGACAAAAAAATAAATACCACCTTTTTACTCTTCAGAATTCCCTGGACAAACTACAGGCTAAGCAATGCAGACGCAGTTTCTACTTTCTTACTGAGGCCATGTCACTGCACTGAAGAGCAGCACATGCATCAAATATTGCGAATTCTAGGTTGCTTTCTGATCAGCATGCAGGTTGCCCCTGTAGGGTAACCAACTCTTTATATTCTGCGTATTTTGTGAAGGAGGCCAGGCACCCAACTGTTTTGATTTCCACTTTGGGCTACAGTACTTACAAGCTGGCACTCCCATGCCTGCATTTTAGGTATCTAAGATCATTATAAGAACTAAACTTCAGCAACCACAGCATGATTCAAAGAAAAGTTACTGGGGTTTGGCAAGTCTCTTCCTTTACTTCAAACTGATTCTTGAAGTGAGAATTTCTAGAAATTGAGTACCCTTTGCAATACTTTTTATCAAGAACAAATATGAAATCATATCTAAATCTGAGAGAAAGCATACAAGATGGCATTTTACAACTTAACAGTCTGCCAGCGGGGCTCAGCTAAAAGCAGTAATGAAGCAGTGCTCAGTTCTATTCTTGTCAGGTCATGCCTACATCTCACAAGCACTACTTCAGTGTTAAAAACAAAAAAACAAAAAACAAACAAAAAGCCAACACCCACCCCCCAACTCTTACTGTTTCAGCTCAGTAAAAGTGAAATAAAAGTAACCATATAAATTCAGATGGTAGTCACACCTAAGATGTGACTCTCCTGATTCTTGCTCACAAGAATCTAGAAAACCCTAATTTATTAGAATATTTGAGACTTCCGTAGGAGTACCAGAAAACTTTGCCTACAGTGTAGCTATAAATTGAGCCAAACAGTTCATAACAATTAGCAAAGCTGTAACAAATTAGTTTTCCCATCTGTAAATACAATAACATCTCTACTACTGTTATCAAAAGGAGAAATATGACCAAAAAAATGGAGATGATCGTTTTAGATAGATGTAAACAAAGATTTCTGTTCTAAAAATAAGCCCTTAACAGAAGAGCTTGGCAAAAATTCACAAAGCCTTTGCTCATATTCTAATAAAGAGATTAGAAAATTTAAATGATGCAAATCCAGCACTTCCCGTAAGTACTAATTTCAAAAGAGGGGGAAAAAAAACCAAAAAAGCCAACAAAAAACCCACTTCAGACATCAGAAGTAGTAAAAGCCAGAACTGAACAACTACACTATTTAAAATTATTAATGATAATTTAGTCTAATATTAAACAGTATTTCATATAAATAATGAAAAACTCCCCAAATAAGGTTCAGGCTGTGCCCCTGAAATTCCATTTCTTGGTAACATTCTTTTAGTTCCTGGAAAACTTTTCTATAGGGCAAGGAAAGCAAGGAGACAAAGCAGGTAAGTGGACAAGTCAGGAACACATCATCCTTTAGCAATGCCACAAAAATTAACATAGAACAAAATAAAACAGTAAATCCCACGACAATGCCCTTCAAGGAGCACTCTGCCAGCAACTCATCCTCACTGGAGCCAAAGACAGCTACAAGTGTTTCTGAAATTTGCTACTGTGCCACGCTTTTTTTTTTTTTTTTTTTTTTTTTAAATGGTGCCAGGATAAAATGTGGATGTCAAGGCATTCAGTATTCCACAGCTCAAACCCCACTACCTTCAACTCCAGGAAACATAGCAGCAGATAATGACTATAAAGGAATTTTAAAAATTGTTGGGATCCAAAGAGCCTAGTAGAAGATATTTATGACTACAGATACCATACTGAGAAGTGCCAGAGTAAACTCACATCTGTATCTGACAAAAGCTGGCATCCACCAGCTTGAAGTTCTCCCATCAACAAGGAAGGAGAGGGAAAAAAACCAGAAAGGAGCAACCATTTTCAAGTCCTGGCCCAAATTACTTCCCTTTCCCAGTACCTGAAGGAGAAGCCTCCCTTCCCATCTTCTTTGTATCCTTTATAAGCTCTCCTTTTGTCTCCTCCATTTCTCTTCTCTCTGTATCAAAAAGAATCAGCAGAAGGAGAAGACAAATTCTCCAATGCTTTCAGATATGAAGAGGCAAAAAAGTGATAGGAAAAAAGGGAAGATTTCAACCTGCAAATGTAAAAGGTGGCAGGAAGCTAAGGGAAGCTAAGCAATTCTTCTTAAAGAAAGAAAAACTGGGAAGTCATATGACAGCAAAGTGCAATCCTTCCCTCTGAAGCCTAGAATTTACTTGAAAACCTTGGAATAGTCATACAAAAGTTAGTTTTACTCTATTCAGTTTAGTAACTGAAAGTAAAGGTCCAAAACGGACCTACTTTTGAAACATCATGTTCCAAGTGGAATTCTTTAAAAAAAAAGTTGTGGGAGCTAATCAGTGTTCCTCTGCGATTGCCTGAACCTTATTTCTAACACTCGCACACACACTTTAACATATTATTTAAGTAATGTGTTGTAATTAACTAAATTAACCGACTGACTTTACAGAATAATATCAGAATTCACGTATCTCAGCCTTGCAAAGATAGTGTATTAGCTACAAAATCTATCTATGATCTGCATCAAGACTGGGTAAAAGAAAACAGATTCTGTAATTCAGGAGCAAAGAGCAAGTAAAGTAAGATCAAAAGGAAAATGTAGGAAGATACAATGCTGAAATGCTGTACCTACAATTTATGCTAATGTAAAAAAAATATATGTACCGTAACTAAAATAATTAAATGCCTAGGTAAGGCTCTCGAATGGTAAGGCAGATAGACTAAGTTTGGTGTGGCAAGCATTATGCCAACAACATACTCAATTCTGTAAATACTAGCATGGGAACATCTGATGCTGAGTAAACTTAAGTCATACAGGCAGAAGCCATCAATGCTCGTGGAACATAATGCAGAGACAGACAAAACCCACAAAGTTTCAGTCAGTAATACAAAGTGATGCCAGAACAGAGAAAAAGTTAAAAAAACCGAAACAAACCCACCCATGAATGACTGCTAGATTTCTAACTTTCCATGCCAATCACTTGTCACCTTCTTTGTTCCTACTGAGGAAGAGTGAAGTAAGAGGCAGAATCTTGCAGAGTTCTGTGGCTAAGGATTTTCTCACAGAAGTCAAGATAATGCACTGTAAGTTCAGTGATTTGCTTTTTATTCATTACTACAGACTAAGTGAAATGCTAACAGAATGTCAAAGCCATAGTTACATAGTACTGGTAATCTTTGATACAGTAACACAAGAGGATTTTATCCTTCGATGCTAAAGTATAGCTCAACCTACTGAATCATAGATTGCTCCCTGGGACAGCAGGGCAGACCTCCGCAGGTGTGCAATGCATTGCTAGAAAGCAACACAAAAGGAAGCAGCAGACTTCAGTATTTCAAGTCTACTCTATTTTCTAGGCTTTAACAAGAGTTACCAGTGACCAACAGAATAGTTTGAGGTACAACTGTCCCATAGAGGAGTAAGCAGAAAGACTTAAGTTAAAGCTATTCCAGACACATTTTAAAGACAACAATGTGACTTTAACCACTTCAGGTACACACTGAACCATTCAAATGTGTTCAATATATGAAACATTTAGAAGGGAGAAAATATGCATCACTGTCTACAAACATAAAAAGACTGTCAGAAGCACATTAATTTCTTGAAAGTGAAAAAATACTGAGGAGAGCCTTATCTTCTGCTTGTATTTATCAGAGCTATTAGCCATGGAATGCCACTCACTGGAGGCTGTGTCAAAGAGGAAAAGACGACTCAGAGCATGGCAGGTTTTGCATATTCTAAGATAACTGATTGTAATTATTGGCAATGCTATCCATGAACTAGCCCTACTCATGTCTTTATATTTAATCAAATTGCAAGCTGGCTCGCTCATCTTACCATCTTCAGCAGTATCTTCATTTTCTTTTTCTTCTTCTAATTCTATTTCATCATCTTCTAACTCCTCTCTCTCTTGTTTTAGTTCTCCCTTTGTAATTTGCTTAGATATATCAGGTTTTTTGAAGTCAATATCTTCATCTGTTTTCTACAACAAATTAAAAATCAATTTACATTTAAACTCAAATTAAGAACTGAACACAACAGCCACTGTAAGCCAAGTAATATCAATGGCACATTAAAAGTGCATATTGTTACACAGATGCTAAGAGTTTTCAAATAAAGTATTAAAAATAAAACCAAATGAAAATATAGTAAATTTCTCTAACCTTTGCTGGCCAGCAGAACAACACACCTAGACCAACAGGGAGAGCTAACGTCAAGACGTAAAGAATCCAGAGCCATGGGTGGTCTTCTGCAGCAGTCACCAGTTGACTAAACATACCGGGCTATATTAAAAACAATTAAAAAAAAAAGTTGCATTTACATCCCTCTCAACACTTCAATAAGTTTATAAAGAGCACTGTATATATTTTAAGCTTTCTGTTTCCCAGAGCACCCTTCTTTGCCTTTGTTTTTTAATGACTAAAACAATATTGGATTTCAATACTAGTAAAGTAACAACTTGACAGATTGCAAATAAATAACAGGTGCTAAGTAAGAAGGAACAAACCTGGTATTCCAAACATACTAGACTGGCCACTACTCCATTTTGTAAAGCAACATTGGGAGTCTTGGCAATCTTGCACTTTACACCCTTCCCAGCTACTCTATTTTGGTGAACACTGGAACAGGTTGCCCAGAGAGGTAGCGGAGGCCCCATCCCTGGGAACATTCAATGCCAGGTTAGACAGGGCTCTGAGCAACCTGATCTGGTTAGCTGTGTCCCTGCTCCCTGCAGGGGGGTTGGGCTAGATGACCTCTAGGGGTCCCTTCCAACCCAAAACATTCTATGATTTTTTCCCCACGCTGTGCTAACTCAGCTGAAAGCTCCCAAAGCATCGAGAACCTCAGAGCAGCAGCCAGCCCCCTGAAGAGCAATGTCTTGCTCCATCTGTCTTACTACCACACTCCCTCCTTTGACAGCCAATTTTTCAGGGAGTAAATTGTCCTCCCAGCCCAGTTCTGACTTACACAGTAGGTAGGCAAGTGCTTGGTCCAGTAAGACCTCTGGAAAGGGTATGTCAGCAACTAAGGTAGGAAGTTTGAGGGGCACAGTGGAGTGAGGGGACTCAAGTGTATACAGGTATAGATGCAGGTCCAGACAAACTCACACATTTCAGAAAAGGGCAAGCTTGTGGGAGGAGGTGGCTTTCCTAATTGCATTGGACAGAATGTGACAAACAGCAGCTGTCAGGAATTGGCCACCTTTGCCACCAACCCATCATTTCTTTCCCACAAGTACGGGCCTGCTCTTGCCACTGAATCAAAGAAAATATAGGACTCTTCAAAAGAAACTGTAGCCAGTAAAGGCAGCCACTAGAGGGGCTCACGATCCCGTATGTCAGGACAAGTTTGTCCTACAGCATAGGATCTAGAAAAAAAACGTGGCAGCTGGCCAACTGCAGTATACAAACAAAATGCACACATGGAAACAGAAACAGAAGAACAGATGCAACTCCATAAACATACATGCACTATTTTCAGAGCTGCATAATATACATCGAAGCAGCCAAAGGCCTAAAATTATTAAACAGAAAAAAATACATGGCTATTTATCCGTTCTTCATGGGTGGGGATCATCTAAAGAACATATATAATGGAGTCAGCCACAAGCGAAAAGGAAAAAAAAAAAAAAAAAAAAAAAAGAGGTCTTTGAGTGTAAGTAACTCAGTTTCCATTTGCTGACAGGCACTGAATTTCTAGCATCACCACAAACAGCAGAAGACCCATGAACTGTAATGAAGCCAATTTCTCACTAGGTGTTTAAGTAAAAAGTTGTACCCTTTTGATTTCAAGAGGATATTGATCTGGGAAAGGTAAAAAGCCAAACTACAAGAAAAAAAAACTATTGTAGTTACTCAGTCAGATTATTAATTGCAGCATTAACTGACAGAAAATTCTTCCAACAGCACATCTTCCTCACTACTTTTGGCTATCAAGAACACAGTAAAGTTTATACCTCATTAGCACTTGCTACTAATTTCTTCAAGCCCCAGCCATCTGCTGCCCAACGATCTGCTACTTCTTTTTCTGAACATATAATGAAGTTATCAAAGTAGATATCAGATGTCATAGACCAGAGTTCTAAACCAATAGCACTGACAGTGGTCATCTTGAATGGGTGAAGATCTTCAAAATAGTCTGGGTTTGGTATTTTCCGAGGGCTCCAGATTCCCTTTTAAGGAAAAAAAAGTAATCACATTACCTATACCTCACTAAAAACAAGTTTTAAAATGTTTAGAACTTCCTGACTATTTAAAATGCATTATTTAAAAAGACAAGCAGCAGAGTTTAACCTACATAAAAACAGAACAGGAAATAACCTATAGGATTTTGGCAGATGGGTGTCAATTTTCTGGCTTAGGGCAGACCTCTTGAAACTAGTTTTTGTTGTCCATACAGGGTTATAGTAATAACTGACTGTACAAAGCATCTCTGTTCCTCCTGGCACTGGTGATTCCAGCACAGTCTTTGTAAACTTCCTACAGCAAGTCTAGGAAACAAATTTCCTAATACAGCAGGAAAATAAGGCATTAATATTACTTCTTCCTCTAGTCTCTCCTTATGTAATATATAGCTTTGGCTTTTGTTCATCAATATAGCACATACATTTTTGGAAAGGCACTGGTCAGTATTTTGTGGCCAGTGATGGAATCTTCTGAGGTAAGCATCTATTGGCTGGTGGCCTAAGACTGCAGGGGAACTACATCCCATGATCCACAGTCCCTTCCAGTATATACATACATACATATGTATAAACTGACAGCTACTGTAATGAGAAAATTCAGCCTTATGATACCTGTGCAAATTAGAGCCAAATTTTGTTTACAAATGTGCATAGGATTTTAAGCTCAAAAAAATGAAATTCAAGTACTCCCCAGACATAATTAATACAAATTGTATGTCTGATTACCTCCTATATCTGGAAGGGAAGAGGGGAATTTAGTTATCCAAAATTGATGCTTCCCCTAAAATTGAACTAGTAAGTCAACCTGCTTACTGAAAGGCTTCATTTTTAATTAAAAAAAAAATTAAAAAATGTTCATTTAAAAGGCCCACACGTAAAACCCCAATAAAAAATGAGAAGTATTTCATTAAATGACAACACGATTCAGAATACAATTCTACAGTGCATATTAAGTAAACTGTACCAGTGCAAATTGTTGCAAAAGCAACTTTTAACAGAGAAACTGTTTTAACAGAGGAAGCATTTCTATTTTCTAGTACACTTAAATGAAAAAAAAAGCAAATTAAATACAAAAAACCTCAAAATGTTTAGTGAGGATATTCAGACTCATTCTAAAACATGAATATACTGTAAAAAAGCCTAGATGAATACACTACTTTGACTTGCCTGCTCCATTGAACTTTGTACCTTTTAACAAAGACCTACCATATTGCTATTACCTGATAGTTAGGATTATCTATCATAGGTGCTTTCCATTTTCCTTTATAGTTTGGGTTACTCTTCATGGGACGCACCCAGTGTCCACAACCAGGCGCAGTCTCACACTTTGGATTAGGGATCTGAGGGGCTTCCCATTCCCCATCCATTTCTTCATCCCTACAGAAAAAAAAAAATTACAGATCAGACTGCTCTGAACACTAGCAGTCAGTCTGAAGTTAGGGTCTATACCCAACATTTTGCTATAGCAACCTCAGAATTTTGACCAGCTCACAGAACTTTACCCAACAGTATAAACAGTTGTTTTTTTTTGAGGAGTGCTATACTTTTTTTTTTTTTTTAAAAAAGGTCACATGTTCATAACTACCACAGCATGACTGAATGAAGTTATAATCCTGCATTTACAGACAGCTTGAAACACTTCTCCTAAGATGCTTAGAGAACCCTTTGAGACTGTTGTATAATGAATTCAAGCTATCAACCTTAAACTGTTTCATGATTTAACACTGTAGCAAGTGCTTTCAAAGGGGTCCTTCATATTGTTTTTGTTTATCTTCAGAAAACAAAAGGCAATCGATCTGTTTATGCATTTCTAAAAGTAGCTCTTCCAAACACCAAATATTTGGCCAGACCTTACACATTCCAACTTACTACCTCAAAAGACAATGAGATTTGGATTGACTTCTGATCCACAACTCCTAACTTGCAACAGAGAATAGGCAGGCTTATCTACAAGACACATTAACAACCTCCACTTCTTGATCAAGTTCTTACCAGTCCTTTGGTTTTTTTGCATTAGGGTCTGGAACATACTGTGGTTCATCATCAAGCCATCCCTCAGGCTTAACAGCATCGGGATCTTCTATTTTGGAAGGCTCATCTTCATCCCTTCAATTACAGACTTACGTTAGAAATACAGCAGCCTGACATCGAACAAATGTTCTGTTCAGAGGACTGTAACTGGCATGAGAGGGATGATTTTCAAAGGCAAAACAGAATTAGACACACTGATCATGAGAATTAGACATCCAATTATCTGTTTATAACTATCTGAATTATATTTACATTGCTGCAAAGTACTACGCAGCCCACATATTGCTGCCATCAGCTGGCAGGTGTCAGTCAGGTGTTTCCATTAATTTTTTCCCCCTTCTTCCTTTCCTTCTTCCTGAGTTGCTGTATAAACAGCAGAAGGAATTAGAAACCATTGAATATAAGTTAAGACTATATGGTAAAAAACCCCAACCTTTTCCTAACCTTTCAGGTATAGTCATCGTAGTTATTAATTGCAACCATGGAGGGTACAAATCAGCAAAAAGCACAATTATTTCTTTCCTTAGAAAACGACCAGATCCTTGTACTGACCTCAGTTATGTTTTCAAACCTTAGTGCTTTTAGTAGTGAAACACATCCCAATTGTCATTAGCAAAAAACCAAAATAAAACCAGTCAAGTCTTTCAAATTAATAACCTGCATGTATGGATAAAAATGTTCTCCTTACCAGTCATCTGGTTTGACAGCATTTGGATCAGGTATTTTTGGTCTCTCATCCCAGTCATCAGGCTTCTTATCACTAGGATCATCTATTTCTTTGGGAGGGTTTATTGGAGGAACCATATCCTCAAGAAGACTTCCTTTACTGACAACTGATTGGTCGATTAGCATTTCAAACGTATCATCTGGCTTTAGCACTAAATTGGAGAGATTTGTATTAAAGAAATAAGGGAAGCATTCTACAAATATCTTTAACCAAAACCTATATAATGAGCACAGGCTTAAGACAGCTAAGAGCAAACAGGATCCTCGCTAGCAGAGCAGGAGACACGACTCCCCACCCAGGTACTGGATCTGGACACAAAACATTATAAAGTTGCTACTGTGGGGATGTATGACCAGTGTCAGGCCCCCCCAAACAAAACCTCTAGCTGATTCAATTACTGAAACACATCCAAGCACATTCTAAGAGATTTTTCAAAAACCTACCACTTGGCCTGAATTCTGCTTTATTTATTTATTTTAAAACACAATGAAAGACAAACCTCTGCCCCAAAAGGCACCTCTGCTACCAAATTACAATTTAAAGCCTGAAAGCATGGAAATACAAGAACTGCCTCAGTAACACAGCTAAAGATCATCAAAGCAATGTTTTCTCTGATTCAAACTTGACAGCCATTTCCCTCAAATGCCAGGCTGCAAACACAGAAAATTCTCTTCAACTGTTTAAGTATTTTAGCAAGCTGAGTAACTGAGAAGCCGGGGTCACAGAACTGAACAGCGTCAGACTCTGTAACAGACGTTGCATCCAGATCCATTTCTAATAACCAGTGAGCACATTTGTAAGTGCTTAACAAGTATATTCAAATGTTCATTCAACACAACAAAGACTGTTAATTCAAAGTAAATAGTATTTCACTTTTATGACAGTTTTATGAAAAGGGGTGATGAAAACCAGACTGACTGTCTTACAATGACAGCTTGATAATCTCTAATGAAGCTCTTTCCGTTTTCAACAGTATTAAAATATCCACAAATGCAAAAATTAAACCCCCATATCACTTCAGATATAACACAAAGAATCGATTGTTAAACTTATGTTATCAGCCACATAATGCATTAGAATCACACAGCTCTAGGGAGTCTATTTGAAGAATTACAACAGAATAAATGCAATCCCCATTTAAGTATCTTTAATCAGAATTTCTAATGAACAGCCCAAATACAGGAACACATGCATTCCTTTACCATATGAATAGTGTTTTGTTACCCTTATATCTAAAAGTGAAAGTTTGCTATGACACACTATGGTAATTTATTTTAAAGAACAGTAAGCTTGCCCATGGCACGGCAGTTGAATATGCCTGCCACTATTATTCAATGACGTTCAGAAGTGCAGTCAATTTTGCTGAATTTGCAGTATGCCACAGATTAGCCCATTCTTCTCTGATTATTTATTCTTCCTCAGAAATTAGAAAAAGGGGGGAAAACAACCTAAGAAAAGAAACTTTCATCTGTTATACCATTCATTGGTACAGAAAGAGATGTCACACGAATTAGAACCAGCCCATATTCATTCATCTTCAGAGAATGAGGTAACATTATCTGTTCACACACACTGCTGCAGATGCAGGTGTTAGTGTGAACTCTTAACACGTGGAAGAGAGTTGCATGCCGCATGCTGCGGATTTAACCGAATTCCTGTGAACTCTGATGCCTTCCTACAATATTGGCTGGTTGTGGGGGTTTTAATGTCTTTCCTAAAAATATTTTTATCATAGTAAGTACTGAAAGTTTTAATTCTTCATGCTAAAGGCTGGCCCGGGCTGATAGGTCTTTTCCTGTAATTGAATATTAAACAGCAGCATTTCAAAGCCACTTTTATGTCCTGCACTTAAGCCCAGTCATTAAATCACTTAAGCCCAAATCGTTAAGCAACCACCCCTCATAATTCACAGGCCATTACAAACAAAAAGCAGATTCAATAGACTTAAAGCTTCAGTGGACAGAAACACATTTTTAATCTCTCCTTTCCAATTTAAAGTTGTAAGAATTAAACAATACCTAGAGTATATAGATGCGTCTTCTTGTCCAAATAGAATTTTTTTAGGTCTACATCAGGACGTTTTGCATGTTTTTCATCATACTCTCCAGTTTTAGGATTCTTATGTCTGAAGATAAAGTGTAGTTTGTAATCTTCTCCACATTTATCTGGTCCAAACATAACAGTATAAGGTGTTTTGTCAAAAAAGTATTCCTGTAGAAGCAAGAAAGCTGAGCATGTGTTATACTGTACATTTTATGAAGCCGTTTTGGGTACTACTTTTCCTTGATGCTGTGGCATACAGCATCGCTACCTTTTTCTAAAAGGCAACTGAAAACCAGTAGGATAAATCATGAAAGGAATTGAACAGTCCTTTTGAGTTGCTGGGTGCTCTCTGTTCTCTGGGAACAAACTAACCGTAGAGATCGCTTAAGCCTCTTCAAGGGAAGATTAATATATTTATTTAGACCTTACCCTTATGTTAAGTGGAAGCACCTGTCACAAATCAAAACACCCAAGTATCTGTAACATTCTACAAACATTACACTAGAAAATGGAAGGGAACTAGTAACTGTTCTTCAAATCAATTTTATTTTTCAATAAAGATAAAACCCAGGATATTATTAACCAGTATTTGTTATCAGTCATCTTGCTCTACATATTTAAATAACAATAAACATCCCCGAAAATATCAGATACAGTTATTCTCCTTCAGAGTATGTTGCAGTAAGCTGTTTAGATATGTCTGTATTCTTCAGCTGTTTATATGATTTTTGTATTTAGAGTATGCAGTAACATGCTGCCTTACATTCTTAAGCAATTGCTTGAAGGAAGAAGACCACTTGATTCCTGGAAGTTTTCTTTTTGAAAGATATGTTCTGATAAAAATGTATTTTTTGAAATGAGTCTGTATTTTTACATTTTTTGAATGCAAAGCAAAACATTTTTACTTTATGCAATACAGAAGTGCATGTATTTTAAGGTCAGTCCCTTTTACAACATTCAACAGTCTTCGGAAAATGTCACTGCTAAGAATTAACAATAATTAACCGACTATGCTAATAGCAACAAGCGTATATACAGCATTGAGACATGTCCAATTTTAAAGTTAAAAAAAAAAAAACCCACAAGAAAAAGAGAACATTGATTCTTTTAAGTTACCTCATCACACAGCCAGTGAAACTCCAAAAACAGTACAGGATGAATTGTGAGCCAGGCCATAAACAGGCAAATTTTGCATTTGCAGTCTTCTGGTTTACCTTCTCGTAAGACGACAGATACTGGAGAATTACAGTTTCATCTGTAATTGAGCTGAATATCTTGGTCTGACACCTTCTTTTAAAATGTAAAACTTTTCAGTTTTACTATCATTTACACATCTTTCCATTATGAAAGACGTCACGCCTCTACGCGCTTTCCTGCAATCTGTATTTTTAATACTTATTAGTACTCAAGATACTTGAGCATAAAATACACATGGGCATATTAATTTTAGGAAAAAGAAAGAGCACTAGGAAGTTGCACTAAAGCTTTTAATTAATACATCTTACAAATGCTTACAAGCAAGTTCTTATGCATGTCGCCATCTCCCAGACTCTTGCAGAGGTACATATTATCCCTCATATCTCATGAAGAGTCCCACTGTTAAGTGGCTCTTCCTGACTGCTGGTTTGCAGGTCAGGTTAAGCAATGTCTTGAGCCTGTCCTGAGCAAGCTCCTCTTCATTTTGCACATACACAGGGCATCACACTTCACTGCTTTTCTCCTCAGTACTTGAAAGTCAAGGTTATGGCCTCATGGGTCAAGGCAGCAGCAGTAGGCACAGACGTCTCAGGGGTAAAAGCACAGATGAAAAATCTTACCCAGAGAGGAAACGATGAATTCTGCCCACGCTCCTGTTACAAGATTTTTCCAGACTATTCCCTATTGTTTTTTCCATGAGCTTGCCTTTCTAGCTTACCAAACCTTGGTGAGCAAATGGTATATAGCCTGATGCATCTCAAACCCAACAACTTCTATAGTCTGTATAGGTTGTAACTGGGACTGCCTCGCAAACTGCTGTCACTATACTACTGAGTGTTGGCTCAGCAATACCAGTTAGCCACAAATCAGTAGCAGTTAGGGTATAGTCAGCTTTTAAGTGGCTACAGCAACCTGCTTCAGGACTGGAAGTACCCTTATCACTTCATGCTTTTACTGCTGCGTCAACATAAGTTCCTCCTAGCTCATGATGTAACATTTTGGATCCACACTGGTCATTACAAGTCCTGTTTTGTAACTGCTGCTATGTGCCAAAAGCACCAGCTCCCATCAAAGCACCTGCAGCAACTGTTGTATACATCAGCCATCCCTACTCTGTCAACACAACATTTGCATTGCACAAGCTCCTAGGCCACAATTCACTGCCAGTTCTGAATGTAAAAAAAAAACCAAAAAAAAGTTGCTAAAATATCCTTCATCACAAGCTACACAGCTTATATCTACACTCCAGTGTAGTGGCAGAAATACTAAAAGCAGGAACAACCAGATCATGTGTGCCAGAACTGAGACTTGGCTAGAACAGGCAGCATTTTAAGCAAGAAATACCTGACTGCGTTGGCATAGTAATAGAGTTTTGCAGACAAGTTTGGAAAGGGCAAGCTAGTTCAAATCTATATTGAGAAGCAATCTACAAAATGGTCCAACATACTACGGCACTTACTGATTTTTTCACACCTGATTATTCAAACCTTTTCCTGGGGGAGAGAGATTCTCCACCACTTTCAGTTTCTAAATCCATGTTGTGGCCCTTTCTAAGACGCCATGTTGTGTGCCATGCAGTAAAAAAATCGTTTCACAAGTTACAAGTTGAGATTCTATGGCTTCTACTATTGCAGAAAGTCAGACTAAACAGATGCAGAAGTCCTTTGTTCTGGATATAAGATATCACTTCCTTCCGAAACTCACATTTTGAGATTTCTTGTGTGAATATATATCTTAACAGCTTTAAGTTTTTAGACTAACTGTAAGTTTCACTAAAATAAATAGAAATTATAACAAGAATAACGTTATCAAATATTCCACCTGTAAAAAATGCACAACTCCAAAGTTTTTGTGTATATATAATAAAGTATATGTATTATTATCTTGCCCAATCTTGTGCTTAAACACTTGGGAAGCTTTTAAGAATTCAGGATGCATTAGGAATTGATTTCATATTGGCATTTCACAAGAACAACTATGCATTCCTCAAATGAACAACTGATAGCAAACATTAAGTAAGAGGACATACCAGATTCAAGTCATCACTACTGGAGAGAAGTTTAATATATGCACCACCACAGTCAATGCCTTCTTGAAAATTCACTTCATATCTGGGCAAAGATAAAGTTAAAAAAAATTCCAAGTACCAGACAAATACAAATTAACTTCTAATCTGCAGTTCTAATTATGAATACATTAAGACTGTGTATTAGTCACTACTGTCAAAACACTTCTACACGGCCAAAAGGTTTTAACTGCCACTCAAGCTAATACATCAGCGATGTCAGTCAAAAAACGCCACAGTAGCTGTTGCTACAGTTGGTATCACCAGCAAAAGTTTCAAGGTGGTACCAACCAACATGCAAACATCTAAGTGAAGCAGAAACAGGCAAGAGCTCGTGCCGTCTTTGAAACCGCCCACATGACACGCTGAACTTAGACATATCCAGCTAACTCCTCTGGCTAAGTACAACAAAGCAAGTCTGAACATTAGAAAAAAGTAGTGATATTGCCACAGTGCTCATCACCACTAATATTGCTATAATGCATTCAAGATTCAAGTTGCTTTTACAGAGCTACACAGAAGCATTCCGTAAGTGTATAACATGGTACTCAAACTACATACAATTTAGGTCTTTTAGGTAAGACTGAAAATTAATTAGCTTTTTCAGCAATCTTGTAAAGTATTAGATTTCTGTCCAAAAATATTTTAAGAGTTTAAGTATGACTTCTTAACATTTGTACTACAATCTTACTTGATTATTAAATCATTCATACTTACAGTTCTGACAGGTCTGGATATGGTAGGTCAATGCTATATGGAAGTCAGTATTTTTCTACAGGGATTGACATTACTTTGTCTTAAAAAATTTAAGAATAATAAATATTTAAGTAAAAAAATCTGAGGGATTACTTACTGAACAATCAAAGGTTTATTATCAAAAATAAATGCCTTTGTTAGCATAGCTGATATTGCATGATGCTTTGCCACTGATTTTAACACTAATCCTCTGTCTCCAGGCACTGTGTTTTCTTTCAGCTCTTCTACTTCCCATCTTCCTGAAAGACACACACAGAGAATCTCTGAAAAAAAGTAGGCTGGAGTAAAGAAATCATAGCCTTGTTGAAAGCAAAGAGTTAACGGCAAATAAAGACTAATTGCCAAAGCAGGGAAGAAATCTTGATATCTGTTGTCAAAGTAGTTAAACAATAATCATCCAATTCATTATTGGTAATTCTACTGCAGATACAAAACATTACTCAAGTCCAGCCTACGCTTCCCCAAACTAACTGCTCTACAGCACTCAAATACAAAAAAAAAATTCATGGTACACAAATTTGCGGCTAACATCTTTCTATCAAATCAGTGACAGAATGTTTTAACCAGTACTTTTCAAGAATTGGAAACCACTAGAATTCCAGCTCCACAGTTAGATGATAAAATAAAAACTGCATCGTGCCAAAGATCCATCTAACCTAATGTTCTGGCTCAGGCAGCAAAGAGGAAAGAAAGCTTAGGGAAGAAGATTGCAAGTAGTTGTAACAAGAAGTGACAAGCTTTTTCTTATTAATTTCCCCAAGTAGCTGTTTCTACAGCAGTAAAAATCCCGGTTTCATAACTGCTATAGCCAAAAGGAAGAAAATTATCAAAATCTCAGTTTTATGGGTAAACCAGAATTTTCCAACTGAAAAAAAAGCCAGTCATGGACTCCAAAGTAGGAAAGAACAACATCCTTACCATAATCTGCCATAAACCAATGAAACAGCATAGAAAAGCATATACATTTAACAGAAAATGTTTTTACGTCACCGAATTTAATTAACCTTATTGCACAAACCTGTAGCATGAGTGAAGATCCACTGGATTTCTGTTTAATTGCAAAATTTTATGAGAGAATGAATGCACTTTAGATATGTCAAGCCTAATGCTTGCATTGCTAATATAGAGACTGTTTCAAAGCTCTGCTTCACATTCAATGAGTTCCATTGTAAAAGTCTATTTCAGCCTTAAGAAATTGGCAGGTAATTAAAGAGATGCCTATGCTTCAGGTATGCATAGCTCTACACAGAAAAGCCCACTCTCCCATTTCACTAAAAACGTTTTATTCTAGCCAATTAAGATAATACTAGCTTTCAATATTTTAAAGATGGTACATGTGTAAAGTATATGTTATTCCTTGCTCTTCTCAAATTTACAGAAATCTACAAGAAAACTTCAGTAATGTAGATCTGTATCTTTAGACTGTGGTACCCCACAACGCCTAGAGGAACATAAAATATTTCTCCAGATTTTACATTTATTCCTACCATCGTCACATAAAAAGCATTAGTCACAAGGGACTGTGTAAGCTAGATACCTGCATGGTTCTTCCTCTCCTGCTTATACGGAATTAGAATCTTTCAGGTCAAATCTAATCACGTGGGAGATGTGAAGCTTCCCCCTGCCCCCAAGTCTTTCCAAGAATTATCAGATTTGATCTTGAAGACAAACAAACAAGCCTACAGCTTTAAAAACAAAAGATTATATAATTGCAAATTCTCCAAGTTTGGGAAAAATACAGTTAATTACACATGTGGGGAATATCTCCAAAAAACAAGATTTCTGGAAGGGCAGTTATATTTTCTCAGATATTAGAAGCACAAGATTCACTGATTTTATTTTTTTTCCAGGAATGAACATAGCACAAAAGACAGACTACTTCTACAATTCACTGTGATCTTAAAAAAAAGCCTGTGTCAACATGAACAAAAGGAAGAAACCTGAATTAGTTCTTCAGCATTTGTTTTAGAGAAGATTCATAAACTGTGAAATCCGAATGAAAAAGCCATTTACTTTTATTCACCTGAAATGTGATTTGTGAAAGGTCATTAAGGAAGGGCAGATACGTATGTCAACAACAAATCTCTAGTTTCTTCTAGTCTGCTAAACAGGAGGGAGGAAAATTCTCTCCTCTTCAGTAGTGTTCCTTCCTGGAAACTAAGACCAAACAATATTGCCAAGCAAAACAACAAGACTTGGGAAACAGTCCAAAAAAGTCTTTTCACCACAGACTTCGGTAATGCCAAATCATCTGGGTGACTTTAAGCAAATAGGACTGTTTTGACCTTAGACACAATTTCTATCTAACATGAAACCAAGTAATCAGAGAGACATTGGTTCTTAGAAGCATCTCAGCTGTATGGATACCTCCTCTGCAACTTCTTTATTTTTACCAGTTATTTCTGGTATCTGCTAAATCTAAAAACATCTGTTCTGTACTGTTTTGCACACCAAAATCCTTTAAGTTACGTTTGTTTACCACTTCCTATTAATATTAATTACTTTCATTTGAAATAAGAGCAGTAGCATAGCAAATACTTCTCTTTTGCAGCAGAAACATTTTCTGCTCTCCCCACTTTCTCTTGAATGAAATAAATTCAGGTTGCAAAATTATTGCCACAGATCACACATCTGTCAAACGGTTTAAAATTACATTCAAGCAGGCAATTCTAACCTAAGAACTTCTAAGTCAAGTGCAAACCCCCATGACAAAAACCATCAAACCAACTTTTTCATTATTACTTCTCATTTTTTTTTAGACTACTGTAATCATAAACTGTACAAGAACCACTGGAGAATCCTACATTCAAGCAAAGAAAATCTGAAAAAGTATTTTAAAGAAAAACATCATTCAGCTTAACTTTTTCGTTTCAGAGACTACAGTTGGAGATCAACCTATGAATCAGTAGGACAGACACAGCAACACGGAAGATGCTGCTTCAGAAACGTGTATAACAACTGAAATTAAAGTGGTAAATCTCTCTGACACTATTTCAGAGAAGGTAGTTTTCAAGCAGCACTATTCATAAGCAATCAATATTGAATATTCAGATGCCAGAAGGTATTCTGATCTCATTCATTGCAATAGATTGTTGGGATGACAAAAAAAATTATCTTCACGCCAAGTAACCCCATGAGCAACATTTCACATCTCAGTTTCAGGATAACAGTCATTATACAAACTAATAATTTTGACTTATGTCATCTAGGTTTTCAAAGATAAGTTCAGCGTGAAGGGTAGTTATTTCTCAAATAGCAACAAGAACAACAGAAACTATATAGTGGAAGTAAACATTAAAACCACTTACCATCATATTTAGCAATGTTATCATCTGTGTCTTCTTTCTTGGTTTTAGACAACACCCACCTAAAACAAAAAGTGTACTAGTCATTGAAATATCTATGCAAAGCTGTATTATTTAACAAGCACAGGAAAACCAGCTTGCGCTTCTAGGCTGTGAACCTGTGATAATGATTTTGACAGTCAGAATCATGGAACTTTGTGTAGTTCAAAGAACATGAAAAGAAAAATTGAAATAGATTAGTCTAATATAGCGTTTCAAAATACTGCCTAAGAATGTAAATGAATATACAACTATAACTCTAACGTAATTTAGTTCTGCTGAATAAAATTCAATTTTATAGACCAGCTGAGTTTGGCAGAATGCACGAAAATTACATAAGCACATAATGTCAAAAATACATGGAAAATAGCAAGGTACAAGTGCAAAACCTTCAATATAGTAAGGCAAGGAAAATAATCACCCGAAGAAACCTTAACACTGTTTGACAGTAACAGTACACATGCACAGCAGAGGACAAAAGGAAGAGGTAAAGTGTCCAAATTACAAATGCAATTATGCACTGAACAGGTTCCAGGTGTACTGCACATAGGGGATCCCAACAGGACAAACTCACTCCTGTTTTCCTTGATATCATGAACACGGCAAACTCATCAAATTCAGGCTACTAAAAAGATATGCACATACACTGCACAAAAAGAAAAAAAAAAAGGAAAAAAGGGCAGTCCAGCTTCATCTGGTCACACAGTGGTTCTATCCTGAGCCATGCACAGGAGTATCTTAAGCCAACAGTGTTGCTCAACTCTTCATTATATCGACTACAATACCACATTCTCATGATTAATTCTGTAAAGAACTTTTTTCATTCATTCTGAACTATCCTCTGCATGGACTATTTCAGAGATGAATATATTTTTTGCTTGACTTTCAGTCAGATTTGTTCACTGTTAACAGAGATGCTGAAAAAGCTTCACAGCATAAATGACAAACTAGATTATTGGTCTACCAGGAGAAAGACCAATGAGGAAATAAAATATCTCTACAAGTCATGCAGAAGATTTTCAAGTCCCATTCTCAAAAAAGCTACTCTCTTCTGGTGATTTACCTAGTCAATTTATATGTACTGTTCCCCAATTTTAGGGAAGAAAGGCAATATGCTGCTTACTTTCTCATACATCTTAGTTCCCCACTTGTTATTCTTATGTAAATTATGTATAGCTAGAACAGAAAATCCCAAGCCTTGTAGCTAAAGCTTTGAATATTAGATTTAGCAGGAAGACAAACTAATCTTTGAACAAATCTCATGAAGCTAGAGACTGGGATGAACAATATCAAGTATCCCAGTTAAGTTTTTGCATTTGTTAATCAAAATTTTCAGTTATTTGTTTGTTAAACAACCATTATCACCTCTTCTGCTTAATCATTTTCCTTGTCATTATTGGTACTGCTTTTGTATTGCACCTAACGTTTAGAAGTGACATATCATTAAGACTGAATACGGAGTTTGTTAACTTATTATCCTTCTACAGTTGATCTAAATATGTAACAAAAATAAGAAAATGTGAAAGAACACAATATGGATAGTGTTCAATGGTCTGAAGTTCCCTGTAATTCTACAGAAGAGAACAATTTAGAAACAATCGGAAAAAGGGAGTAAGATTCAATTTTGCAAGATTTACTGGTCCCTACTACCATGTTATTTTGTTTACAGTTTAAGCAGTGCATCCTCAACAGACATACATCTCTTATGATGGTATAACCTCCCTCCTACAGTAGCTGCATCTCAGCTTTCTCACAGGAAGTAAAAAATAGGCAGCTTTAAGTTCTAACATAACAAACGTATTATACTGCATCTCCTTTCACCTCTCTGTCTGGCTCTTCACAGGAGAGTTAGCTTTTGTTCCATCAGTTTCAGTAACATAGGAAAACACCTTTTTTATGATTCTTCACAAATCAAGAGATAGCCCTTTTGTTCAACAGCGTCAAAGTGTACAGGAAAAAAAACTATACCAATAACAAGACCTGTTTTGTCATTAAAAACTAGAGGCTTACTTTCAAATTTTAAAAGCTTTTCTCGTAGCAAGAAAGTACTCTAGCAACTCATGACATCAGCTCTTACTAAAGAGATTTCTACTGCATTCACAGATTCTACCTGGATCCATGCTTTTACTGAATTTGAGCCAGTGACAGTATACTAACCTGGCTTGATTCAAAAAAGAAAAGTCAGTGATCGTACAGACTACATTTACACTGTATTCATTTGTTTTTCCTCGATATTCTACACCCTCTACATCTGAGCTAGAAAGAGGACTGAAAGCCAAGTTGTTTTCCAACTAAAAGTAGTAGAGTCTATTCCAGAAATAGAACGTAATATATTATATTCACTTATTGACAGTGCATTGGTGGCAACTGACTATAGCTCACAATACACAGCTTTTCATTGAGCAACACGAGTCACCCAATAGCAGTTACATCTTACATTGCCATACTGTTGGAAGAAAACTTGTAAGATACAGACATGACAAAAATTTCTGGCTTAAGAATTGTTGAGATAAACCTGAACTTTTTTCTAAAATTTCAATGCAGTAAGGTCAAACTACCTAGGAACACTTCAGTAGTCTCATATCTAATTATTTTTGAGTATGGGAAGCAATACAATAAATTAATAAAAAAAATCTGCTAAAAAAAAAAGTCTTCTCCAATAGACGTTTTATCTATAATGCTGAAGGTGCTGCCTTCTTACACATACCTAAGTGCATGTGAAAAGGAAGAGTTTGCTACTGCAGTGTGATGGCTATGTGCTTCACCTTGCGGCTAGTTAAAGTCATTTTTCTTAATGCCCATAAACCCAGAGTTTATTAAAAGCTTCCTTAAAACACAAAAAATAGCAACATACCTGAAATGTTAACTGTCCGGCTTAACATTATGATGTATTTGGAGCAAGCATTACCAGCCTTCCCAATTCTAACCCCTGTAAAAATTAATTTTTATAAAGATACTAGCAGACAAATAAATACAAAATAAGTCCTGCCGCTGTAAGTTAAACTGCTGAAAGTAAAAGTTTGTAATTCTAAGGCATAAACTTACCCAGCCAATACTCCATCAAAGGTTTCTGTAAAATACACTTCCCCAGTTGGCTTTGGAGTCTGATACACAACCTAAAAGATATGAACAGATACATGCTCTAACACAGGTAATTTTTCATTTGGAATACACTGTCACGCCTCCAGAAGTAGTCCACCAGATTTTGTTCATTAGAAACATCTAGCAGCATAAAGCACCTTTCCCTGCCCCACCATGCCCTTCTCATTTCTACAGTTTTGGCACATCCCCCTAACAGCGAACAATTTCACACCTGTGAATTTTAAAAATTGCTTCCTGTGTTCAAAGCTCTTAACTGAAGAACTGCTACACATCTTATGTTTAACAAAAACCCAGAAAATTCACTGAACTTGCACCAATTCCCTGCTTCCTCCCTACTTCTTTCCATACATGTTTTCCATTCTGCTGTTTTCCTGTCTACTTGGTACATTACAGTTGGGCTACACGGTAAAAAGAAAAAGTTGAGAACATAATTTAGGGATATTGCCCACATCTGTTATGAAGTGCAGCATAACAAATGCAGCAAGATTTTCTGGGAATAAAGACAGGGTCAAAAAAAGGCAGCTGTGACTGATGAAATCAAGAAACTTAACTAATGTCAAAATCTCAGTAAGAGATGCTTTCTGCTTTCGTCTCTAGAAGCGGCACGTTAGGACTTAGAACAAAAGGTTCTGTATCCAGACTGCAGCACAGACTAGCAAAACCTTCTTCGTGACTATCCACCACACGCAGGAGACCTGATTTTACACTTTGGCATAGCAGAATCATTCATTAAGCTTGTCCTCCATGTCACATACAGCAACTGAAAAACTCAAGACTGGTGGGTTGGACACCCGCTTAGTTGTCAACTGTGTGTTAATTTGCTCTTTTTTCAATGCATTTGTCCACCAATTTCTCTAGTAGTTATAACTATGTATCTTATAATTAAACAAGTTTTAACTAAAGACTTCTGTAATCTTACCTCTAAGGAAGATTTATCTCTGTCAACATCAGCTTCTTGAGACTGCTTGTCAAAATCCTCCACTTTAACATCTGCATCCAGAGTTTCTTCATTTTCCATTTTTGCAGTCACCGAGCTAATTATCAGGACACCCAAGCACAGCCACTCCCACAGGAAGCGCATCCTGGTTATCTGAAGAACTGAGAGTTAAATTTTAAGTATCGTTGCAAGAATATTATCAATACTACTATAATTTTACCCCAGACTTTATCTACAAGAGAAGAAACACATTAAAATAATAAGAAATAAAGATGATAAAGTATTGTCACTATAATACGTCAGTAAAGTGCTGTATCTTAATTTGAAAAATTTCTTACTACACAGCCCTGACTCAGACTCTTTTTCACTTCACGTTATCCCTGTGGAAGTGGTTGTAGGCTGTTCTCTTGCCTTGCCAGGCCACAAATCTAACAAGAATTTGACTGCAGTATATACGCATTTTTAAGAACTAAGTAAGCCTGCTTTTATTTTTATCATTCCTTAACAATCTGAAGAAGTAATCAAATTGAATCAGTCTCTATAGTGCAGCACGAAGCAACGCCCCTTTCATTAGGGAAAAATAAAACATATTGAACATATTATTATCCACCGCCAGAATTACTCATTTGTATTTGGATCTTCTTCCACTGTCTACGTTTAAAATAGTGCAGACCTTGTATCAACTCCAGCTGTAAGCGTCAAAGGAAAGTATAAGATTGTTTCAGAAAATATTTTCTGTTTCAAAGTTATCCAATAAGTGCGAAGTTTAAGCTTAAATGCAAATATCTAATTTCAGGGAAAATCTTTAATCTGTGTAAGTATGAATGTCAACAGCAGATAACTACCCCAGACTCTCAATCTAATCTGCTGCAAAAAAGAAGAGACTGTTGCCCAGGATTTTTTTGCATCATCTAGTTTTATAGTAGAATACCCAGTGTTTTGGAGCAAAAATGTTTCTTTCTGAATTTGTTTTCGTCTGAATTTGGAAATAAAAGGAAGACAGATTCTAGGTACCACTGCACAGGCACTTGTCCTTTGGTTCTTATTCATTTCTATCCAGAGCAAGCTTAAAAAGACAGACAAATGCTGATATTTAGTTTGCTATTGTAAGACATTTTCAAACCTCGCATTACTTTTAGCCACTACTAGTCATACTAAATGTTCTGCAACTGAGGTGCTTTCTGCGCCTGAGCAAACAGTCATCCTCTTAGTTATATCACTGCTCTTTAGAGATCAAATTGTTTACCACTACAACCCTAAATATCCCAGCAATTCAAGATACCACCTTACACTGGAAGCGCGAGTCTCTTTCTTCCTGGCTTTATCAGATTTGCTAAGCAATTTAAACATCACAATTGCACTAATAATTATGTATCATTCAACTTATAATATCTGCAAGTTCTATCAAGCAACACATACAGAGATCAAACTAAAAACCCCCACATCCCAGTATGACTGTACTACAAACATCCAAAAAGAAAAGTAATTATTTTCTACTTATTCCTTTTAAGACTTATTAATTTAATATTGACTGTACTGATTATATTTAGACCCCAAACCCAGAAGTATCATAAAGCAGTAAAGTGTTTCACACACTAGTACTATGTCAGTATCGTCAAAAGCCTCCCTTCTTGGGAGAAACACCTATTTTCCACAAAACTGTATTAATTATGCTACCATTCTTTTTCCTCCCCCACTATCATCCACAACCCATGCCATTCTTTGCGGGACTTTTCACCCTGCTGTGTATTTTGCTTGAGGATGGCAAGTCTATGGTTCCCTCTTCTCAGTTATTAACACAGTGATATCTCTCAAAAGTTGTCTGCAAACGTTACTAGTTTCTTTGTATTTTTTTTAATATATTTTAGTTAAAAAATACAGATCTTGTTAATTCATAAACCTCCTTGGCCAATTCTAGAACTTAAAACCATCTTGCCCTGAAGATTTAAAGTAATTCAGTTTATCATATATGAACATTCAATCTTATGGTGTACTTTTGAACATCTTTGTTCAGACTATCACACTTAGTTTGTACCACCCCCATTTTCTTGTTCTTAATCACTATATTAGGACAAACACTTGAAGAATTTCATATCAATACCTCCTGGGACTCCTTAGCTCTTAGCTAAAGTGGCATACACTAATCAGGTAGTAGACTTGCTTTTTTAGCATAAAACTTGCCTACCTTACTCAGGTAGTTTGTCATGCAGGTGGTCGTCTCCTCTTCTCCTAAAGCAGATGAAGAGATACATCTTTCTTTATCAATACATTTCAGGTGTATTTTGTGTATGATCCAAAACATCTTTCACTTATGTAGCTGTAATTTTACTGTCATTAGCCCCATCCACTTTTGTTCCATCCACAGACTAGCAAGGGCATCCAAGAAATCAGGCTGGTACTCACTTTTCCACATAGTTCCCTTCCAAAACTCCTGATGCTTTCACTTCATTCATGCCAAGTCTTATCACTACTCCCTGATCCTAGCCTAGAACACTCCTAATTTCATTCAGCCTTCAATAATCTCTCTTACTTTTCCCTTCAAGAAGAGAAGGTACACTTTTTTGACCTTTGGACACACTTTTAAAATAATCCCAGAAACACTGAAATACATTATGAAGAACAATTACAGTTATTGCTCAATTGCCAGGCAAAGATGGTTTTAAACAAGACCATGCTATCTTTTACTTTTGTGAACTCTGTCTGCACTACAATCTTAGAATATAAAATAAATCTTTCAACTAAGCCAAAGAGTTTCTGGTCTTAAAATAGAACTTTACACTACACCTTTAATTGTCTTTAAAACTTACTGAGCTTTCCTAAATAACACATGAAGACCCGTGAAAAACTTTCCTTATTCCTTCCTCAAGTTGACCATAAAAACAAGCCAAAAGGGTTCCCACTGTTAAAAGATCCTCAGCAGATCAAACCAAGTTATCCCAGTCTATGGCACTCACACAAACACCGAACACGTTTACTAGCAATCCTGGCCTGAACACCGATGGCCAGTGACTTCCAAAGCGCCTTTCAGGGAGCTACAGCAAATAGGTAATTGCGAAACCATACATCTTGACAGCAGTTTCAATTAGGAATGTGCTATTGATACGGTATGACCCATGAGAGAACTGGAGAGCCATTCTTCAGTTTGAAAAGCTGCAATCATAGAAGTTGAGTCACAGAAATTAATCCAATAATAATTACACCTCCAAAATGGGATTCCCAATTATTCCTTTTGGGATGGGCAGCTTATATCCAACCTTCTCTAGAAAAACATACTGACAATTCTGTCAATATATGTAACTTCAGACCTACAATTTTAAACTGAATTCTTGCGTAGCTTGGTCGCTCTTTACCATGGGAACATGGGTAACTGCAGCGCATCTACGCATTGGAAGAGACGTTGGAGCCAGCAGTACTATTGCAAAGCATGCCCTTGGGACCAGCGACGCTGCTGCAACAACAGCATAATGTTGCACCTAAAGTAAGGAGCCTCTGTTTCTGAGACACATGCTAGTATTTAGGAAAGACAACAGGCATAAACTGAAAGAATATTCTGACTGGATATTAGAATTTCCACCCCCCGTGAGGGCAGGCAAGTGGTGGCACAAGCTGCCTCCTCTCAGTCCTTGGGGTTTTCCGAGACCGACTAGATAAAGCTCTGAGCAACCTGAACTGGCCTGAGAGCTGGCCCTGCCGCGGGCAGCAGGTTGGAGTAGAGACCTCCTGGGGTGCCTTCCTACCTGAAAGATTTGATTTCTACAGATGGTTGCACAATGCAAGTATGTCAATCTTCAGCCCTCTGCACCACAGTCTTTTGCATGTTCTACGCATGCCATTAAATATGAACGGCATCGTTATTCCATTTGATGCAGAACTAAATAGAGGCCAGGATCTTTTAGATTATTCCTAACTTTTCCTTGGACTTTGAAGAGGGTCATGCCTTTTTCACGGATCTCTCAAGAGTTCTGCCTTCTCGAGCAGGAAGGGAGCAAGACGGCCATTTAACAGCCTTTCTCACTCCGAGGCCCAAAGCTCCTGCATCCAGTACCAACACACGGGCTTCTCCTAGGGCCAAATACCAATTCCACCCAGCGCAACAGAAAGGGGAGGGTTTTCACCCCAATCCTTCTTCCACCCATAACCACGTGCTGCCTTATTCCTCCCCCATACAGCGCATCAGCATCAACCTGGCCGAAGACAGCACCCAGCTGAAAGCGCTCCATGAAGAGCACCCAGGAGTTCTTAGACAAGTTGGGTTTTTTTCCCCCCCTTTATTTTCTGTGAAAACTACGCTTTCCTATCTTTTGCTGAAGCCTGAAAAACATCGTGCCAAAATGAATGCTAAATGTGCAATTTAGCAATCACTCAAGCCGCGAGGCTGTACTCCTGCAGGCGCCTTTTCAAGCTCTTTTGTTGCTACAGCTCTCTTGAGTAAAACCTCCGGGAAGAGGTTATTCTTCAATTAAAAAAATAAAGTTGAGGCCGGCGGACACCGGGCGTTCAGGCAGTGCCCAAAACGAACCCGCTTCCCGCGTTTCATACGGAGGCGGCTTTTCGGAAGGCCGCGAAGGGAGGACGGCGGCCGCGTTCCTCCCGCCGGGCGGCTCGCTCTCCTCATGCGGGGGGCCGGGCTCCGAAACCC